AATTAAGCTGGATATGGTGATACAAGCCTTTAATCCCAACACTCAGGAGGCAAAGGCAGGTGGATCTCTGTGAGTTCAAGTCCAGACTGGTCTACATAGTGAGTTCCAGACTAGCCAGTGCTGCATAGTGAGACCGTGTCTCAAAATAAATAAATAAATGAATGAACAAATAAGTAAATAAACGACAGAAAAACTCAGTATCACTAAAAATTTAGAAACATGCACTGCCAAGTCATTAACTTGGGTTTTTTTTGGGGGGAGGAGGGGTGTTTTTTTAAAAAATATTTTATTAGGGCTGGAGCCAATAAAATATAGTTCAGTGGTGAAAAGCACTAACTGCTCTTGCAGAAGATCCAGGTTTGATTCCCAGCACCCACGTGGCAGCTACGAACCATCCTTAACTCCAGTTCCAGGGGAATCCAAAGCCCTCTTCCGACCTCCACAGCATTACACGACACAGGTGCACTCACCGAAGAGCTGAAAGCATGGGACTTTACGGGAGTTGGAAAGCAAAATAGGAATCAACTGTTTGGTTTTTTAAAATATTTTATTTATGATTTTTATTTTACGTGTACACGTGCATTGCCTGCATGTAGGTGAGTGCACCTGTGTCGTGCAATGCCCCCAGAGGACAGAAGAGGCTGTCGGATCCCCTGGAACTGGAGTTATGGACAGTTGTTAGCTGCCACGTGGGTGCTGGGATTTGAACCTGGGTCTTCTGCAAGAACAACCAGTGTTCTTAACCACTGAGCCATCTCTCCAGCTGCCCAAGTCATTACCTTTAATCCCAGCATTTGGCAGACAGAGGCAGGGGATTATGAATTCAAGGTCATCTCTGGCTATGTGGCAAGTTTGAGGCTAGCTTGAACTACATAATACTCTGCCCTAAAAATTCAAAAAACATGATATGGTTGTTGCAATCAAACACACACAACAGCTATATATACCTGCAAAGGCCTACACAAGACTCTCCCATCTCCAGCAAAATAGCCCTAACCTGTACTCACACAAGCAACCCTAAGTTTAGTGGTTTAAAAAAAAGCCATGAAAGCAGGAGGGAGAACCGTGAAGAATAAAGGATTCAGAGGGAAGGGGTGGAGAGAGGGTAATGGGGTGATGAATGTAATCACAATACATTGTATATATGTATAAAAATGTCAAAAAATAAAAGGAGGGGCTGGAGAGATGTCTCGGTGGCTAAGAGCACTTGCTGCTCTTGCAGAGGACCTGGGTTCAGTTCCCAACATCCATATCAGATGGCTCACAATCATTTATAACTACAGTTCTGGGGGATCCAGTCCCCTCTTCTGACCTCCAAGGGGACCTGCATGCATGTGGCACACATATACACACTCAGACACACATGTATGCACATAAAATAAAAAAATAAATATCTAAAAATAAATAAAAATAGCCGGGTATGGTGGCACACACCTTTAATCCCAGCACTCAGGAGGGAGAGGCAGGCAGATCTCTGTGAGTTCAAGGCCAGCCTGGTCTACATAGTGAGTTCCAGGTCAGCTGGAACTACAGAGAGACCCTGTCTCAAAAAGACCAATAAATAAATAAATAAATAAATAAATGAATAAATAAATAAATAAAAATAGAAAAAAGCTAAAACTACCTGTATATGATTAAATAAAACAGGGATAGTAAAAAGTCAATTTCTACTAGTATGCTACTTAAGGTACTATTTTGATCTCAGCTACAAGTGTGATCATCAAATGAGAAATACTACCTAAAATATTTCTAAATATGTATGTGTACATTTAAAAAATACTTAAATGAAGTACACCTTACCACTGAGTTTAGGATTGTCTCTTCTGTCAGGGAACCTTATTAACGGAGTATGTGGTTTCACTACCTAAAGGAAAAATAAAACACATGGAGAAAAAAGAATTTCATTAACTGTAAAAGCAACAATCTACTAATCCTCATAAACACCTTTGTTAAAATAAATTACTATTTGACAGCAACTTGAAACTTCACTCTTTCTCAACCACAGAAACTGATCTATGAATTAACTTTTATTCATAACCTTGTGATTTGTATATCATATGACTTTTTATTGTTCTACCAGCTACCCTAAAAAAACCTCATTGAGTATGAATAGCCAACAAGATGGCTCACTAGGTAATAAGTGTTTGCCAACAAGCCTAACAACCTGAGTTTAGTTCTTGGAACTTACAGTGGAAGGCGAGAACAAATTTTCAAAAATTATCACACCCCTGACCTCCATATGCATGCATGCATATACTCACCATACACAATCACAGTTGTTTTTTAATATTTTATTTTTATTTTATGTGTATGAGTGTATCACCTGCACGTATGTGCGTGCACCCTTGTCATGCAATGCCATAGAGGTTAGAAAAGGGCTTCGGATTCCCCTGGAACTTAAATTATTTTATTTTTGGTCTTTTTGAGACAGGGTCTCCCTGTAGTCCCAGCTGACCTGGAACTCACTATGTAGACCAGGCTGGCCTTGAACTCACAGAGATCTGCCTGCCTCTGCCTCCCGAGTGCTGGGATTAAAGGCGTGTGCCACCATGCCCAGCTCTGGAGTTAAGTTTTTAAAAACAGTGAAGATTATGACATGCTCTTGTGCTGCATGCCTTTATAGCCTGGTAAGAAAAGAACTGAAAATATCCTGATTTACATCAGGAATCTTACCAGTTTAGAATATGATGAAGTGCAAACAATCATAACAAAAACTAGGTAACTGGGGGCTGGAGAGATGGCTCAGTGGTTGAGAGCATTGACTGCTCTTGCAGAGGACCTGGGTTCGATTCCCAGTACCTACATGGTGGCTATGAACCATCCTTAACTCCAGTTCCAGGGGAATCCGAAGCCCTCTTCTGACCTCCAAGGCACTGTACGACATGGGTGCACTCACATACATGCAAGCAATACACTCATACACATAAAAAAATAATAAAATATTAAAAAAAAAAATTAGGTAATTAAAAACACCTGCTTTGCCAGGTCCCAGCACCAAGGAGACATAAGCAGGCCAATCTCTGTGAATTTGAGGCTGGCCTAGTCTACATAGTGAGTTCCAGGCCAGCCAGGGCTACATAGTGAAACTCGTCTCCAAAGAAAAACACACACACACGCACGTACACACGCACGCACATGCACACACGCATATACAAAAAACACCTACTTGCTGTCCTATTTTTAAAATATTTCAAATTTTGCATTGAGTAAAGGAAACAAAATAGGACTGCCTTATTCCTCCAGATTACACTCCTGATCAAAGAATGAATAAAAGCTTATGCAGTGAGACTAAATCCCTGAAAGAAATAGCAAAAACAGTGTTGTTAAGGAAGTATTCTCTCAGTTCAAAAGCACTTAAGGTTCTTTCTACTGTATTGAGATTTAATAAACCAATAATCCAACCTCATTTATTTTCATTATTTGTGACTTGTTACTATTGGGGAAGCTAAATCTTACTATAATTAATAAAGATAAGAATTTTAAAAAACAAGATCATGTATGACTACATGATCTGTGTAAAAACTGGGGAAAGATACAGAAAAACACAAAGGAGAAAACACCAATAACCCCAAGCCCATAAAAAAATTAAAATATTTAATAGTTTTTTATTTTAGTCTTCTTCCTTTACCCACAGAAATGTATATTTTTAGAATAATATTTTTCTAACATTTTCATCCTTGAAATTCCAGATAGTGCTATAGAGAACCTTAAAGAAGCCTGTCAGTATGAAATCTAATACACAAGACTAAGAACCTATTGAGAAAAGTACTGATTATTTTCAACTACCGTAATCTGTGAACTGGTGTGTAGCTCTAAGATTGAAATGTGAAAAAAAACAAAACAAAGCAAAACAAAAAAATCCAGGAGGCAGAGGTGGACAGATCGCTGTGAGATGGAGGCCAGCCTGGTATGCGAGTTCTAGGCCAGCTGGGGCTACAGAGAGACCATCTCTCAAATGTGACAGAAAAAAAAAAAAAAATGAGGTATGAACACCTGCAATGTATCTGCATAGTTGTACCCACAGTTGTATTTATATGAGTAAACAGGATGTAGTAACTAGCTGGAAACTCACTGCCATCATTCTGCTGATTTGAGAAATATGTTCTCTCCCTCGGGAAAAATGCATGCTCATCTTCCATGTTAAAAAGCTTCTTTTGGGGCTAGAGAGATGGCTCAGCCATTAAGACAACTGACTGCTCTTGCAGAGGACCCAGGTTCGATTCCCAGTACCCACATGGTGGCTATGAACCGTCCTTAACTCCAGTTCCAGGGGAATCCAAAGCCCTCTTCTGACCTCCACAGCATTACACAATGCCAGTTCCAGGGGAATCCAAAGCCCTCTTCTGACCTCCACAGCATTACACAACGCGGTGCACTCACATACATGCAGGCAATACACTCATACACATAAAATTAAAATATTAAAAAAAGAAGCTACTTTCTTACTGGTCCTGGTGGTGCAGATCTATAATCACAGCTACTCTGGAGTCGCTGAGGCAGGAGAATTCCAAGTTCAAGGACAGCCTGGGTAGCTTAGCAAGACCCTGTCTCAAAAAGTAAAAAGAGGGCTTGGCATAAAGTTCATATCTGGGTAGGGCACTTGATGTGAGGCCCTAGGTTCAATACCAAGCACTATAAAATAAACTTTGTCTCTAGTAACCATTTCTGTCCTTGAATAGCTAAGCTTCTTAAAAAAAACAAATGTTCTACCACCCAGCATGGTGGCCTATACCTTTAATCTCAGCATTCAAGAGACAGCGGCAGATGGATCTCTGTGCATTTGAGGCCAGCCTGGTCTACTTAATAAGTTCCAGGTCAACTAGGACTACATAGGGTGATCCTGTCTCAAAAAAAAAAAAAAAGAAAAAAAAAAAATCTATCTATCCTACTGTCACTCGTCTATTTACATTTTTGGAAAAAGAGGGTTAGTCAGACAGCTCAGTGGTGATGAGCACTTCCTGCTCTTGCAGAGGACCCAAGTTTGGTTCCAGCACCAACATGGCAGCTCACAGCTGCCTGTAACTTCAGCACCAGGGGGATCCAACATCTCTTCTAGCCTCCATGGGAACCTGTACTCATGTGTACACATATGGACACATATGCATAATTTATTTTTTAATCTTTAAATTTGGAAAAATTTCCCTTTTTAGGATATATTTCAAACTCCAGGGCAATCACAAAGCCCAACATGGTGTGGCTTCTCCAATCTCCTCCCCTCCACTATCTGATGTACTGTTACTCCACATATTCTGGTACTTTTAAAAATTAGTACTAAAAGCCAGGTGTGGTGGTGCACACCTTTAGCCCCAGCACTCAGGAGGCAGAGGCAGGTGGATCTCTGTGAGTTCACGGTCAACCTGGTCTATATAGTAAGTTCCAGGCCAGCTGGGGCTACAAAGAGGCCCTGTCTCAAAAAGACCAAAGGAAAAATAGTACTGGGAGGCTAGAGAGATGGCTCAGTGGTTAAGAGCACTGACTGCTCTTGCAGAGAACCCAGGTTCAACTCCCAGTACCCACATGGCAGCTAACAACTGTCTGTAACTCCAGTTCCAGGAGAATCTGATGCCCTCTTCTGGCCTCCATGGGCATTGCACTCATGTCACTTACATACATGCAGACAAACACTTGTACATATTAAAAAAGGTAAGGCCTAGCAATTTGTTAGTCCCTAATCAATTCCTAGTACCAAAATTAAGAATAAAAAGAGAGTAGTAGGGGGTTGGGGATTTAGCTCAGTGGTAGAGCGCTTGCCTAACAAGCGCAAGGCCCTGGGTTCGGTCCTCAGCTCTGAAAAAAAAAAAAAAGAAAGTAGTAGGTCAGGGTTAGGTGTGGTGGCCTATACCTGTCTTTCCAGTCCCTAAGAAGTGAAGGCAAGAAGATCAGGGGTTTAAGTCCATCCTGAGCTACATAGCTAGACCCTGTCTCAAACAAAAAAAAACCAAAATAACAGATTAAAAAGATAGTTTAAAGTTTCCTGCAGGGAAAGATAAGGTTCAGCTTTGGATCTTTTTTTTTCTCTCTCTCTCTCTTTTTGAGACAGGGTCTCCCTGTAGCCCCAGCTGTCCTGGAACTCACTATGTAGACCAGGCTGGCCTTGAACTCACAGAGATCCACCTGCCTCTGCCTCCTGAATGCTGGGATTAAAGGCCACCACACCCGGCAGCTTTGGATCTTCTAAGCAAAGCACTTAATATTAATGAAGTGGCAAAACTCAGATGAGCAGACAAGAAGAGGAAAACCAAGTAGCTAAGAGGATTGTGCTGAGTAATGATGTAGCCAAATTAGCACCAAATATGTACAAACATGAATCAGATGATTAATTCTGACCTAGAACTCGCCATGTGGCCCAGGTTGGCCTTGAACTCTTTGCAATACTCTTGCTTCAGCCTCTAGAGTACTGGAGTAGTTGTGAGCTACTACACTCAGCTTTCTGTTTGATTCTTAAATTTTATTAAAAACCCCCAAAGCCAGAGTTGGTGCTACAGGCCTGTGATCCTAGCTACATAGGAGGCTAAAGCAGGAGGATCAAAAGTTTCAAGGTCTGAGCCTGGCATGGTGGTGCATGCCTATAGTCCCAGGCTATCTAGTGAGACCCTGTTTCAAAAAAGAAAAACAAGTTCAAGTTCAAGGTCTACCTGGGGTACAGAGTGACTTTAAACCTAGCTTGGGCAAATTAGTAAGAGTCTATCTCAAAATAAAAAAGGTCTGGGAATATTACTCAGTGGTAGAGTACTTGCCGAGGCTTCCCCATGTCCTAGGTTCAATTCCCAGTAGCACAAAATTAACAAGTAAGTACAGCTTTACATAAGGGGCTCACAGGGTAAAATTCAGATCCCCATTTCTTTGACTCTGGTTTATCACTCGAAAAAGCTGTTGGCTGATAAGGATACAACAAAATTAAAGGCTATCAAAATATTTAGAAGAAAATACTGTGTGGTGGGGAAGGGAGGATATTGATTTTCTAATTTCAGGACAGTTTCCATGTTGTAATGAAATGTTTAACTCAAAGGACTTATGAAAAACTACTTAGGAAAAACTCTCATCCCTCATGTTTAGAGTTAGAGCCTTGAGCGTCACCCTTCAGGAACAAGTGGTCTTGGAGAAAACAGTCCAAAGAGTTTTTAACTCAGATTTAGGAATGAGAAAAACTTCTAAGGAGTGACTTTTGAGCTGTCTTAAAGCATTAGAAGTTCAAAGGATAGGTTTGGAAGTGGCGAGAGATTTCCTGACTGAGGACATGAGCTCTAGTCTAGATGGAATGGGAGTGGGAATATCAGAGGCCTGAGTGTATGGAAGTGGCAGAACACTTGCTTATCGTGTGTGAGTCCCTGGTCTGATTCCCAGTACTAAATTTTATTTTTATTTACTTATTTTTGGTCTTTTTAAGACAAGGTCTCCCTGTAGCTACAGCTGGTCTGGATTTGCTATGGAGGCCAGGCTGGCCTCAAATCACAGAGATCTGCCTGCCTCTGCCTCCCAAGTGCTGGGATTAAAAGCATGCACCACCACGCCTGGCGTCCCAGTACTAAATTTAAAAAAATGTTTTATTTACTTTTTTTATTTTTTGTGTATGATTGTACTGTCTGATAAATATGGGCCTCTGCAGGTCCATATTTATTTATTTTTTAAAGATTTATGTTTAGCCAGGTATGGTGGGACTCACCTTTAATCCAGCACTTGGGAGTTAAGAGGCACGTAGATCTCTGTGAGTTTAAGGCCAGCCTGATCTACATAGGGTCCCAGACCAGCTAGGACTACATAGTGAGACTCTGTTTTTGAAAAAAAAAAAAAAAGGTGGCGGGGGGAGCTGGAGAGATGGCTTAGAGGACTGGCTGCTCTTTTGGAGGACCCAAGCTCAGTTCACAGCACCCACATGGTGCTAACAACCATCTGTAACCCCAGTTCCAGGGGATTCAATGTCCTCTTTTGAGGACACAAATGCACATACATACACGCAGGCCAAACATCCATATACATAAAAAATTTTTTAATTTTTAAAATATTTATTTTATGTTTATGAGTATCTGGCCTGCATGTATGTATGTGCACCACATGTGTATCTGGTGCCTGAGGTGGCCAGAAAAAGGCATCAGATTCCCTGGAACTGGAGTTACAGGTGGTTGTGAGCCACTACATGAGTGCTGGAAACTGAAATTAGGTCTTCTGTAGGAGCAGCAAGTGCTTTTAACCGCTGAGTCATCTCTGGCTCCTGTATTATTTCTGTATGTGTGCATGTTCATGTGTGCAGGTGAGTACACATGCATGGTAGAGACCAGAGTTCAGCCTTTGGTGCTGTTCCTCAGGATATTGATGATGTTGACAGAGGATGTCAATGATCCTCAAATTAAATTTGCAAATTTTCTGCAACCCAAATAAAAATATCAGGCTTTTTTTCTTGGGTTAGACAAATTGATCATGAAGTTCATTTAGGGGAAAAAATTCCTTTGCAAGAATAAGCATTAAGAATAAAAAAGAAGGCCTTTGTTAGTTGAAGGCCAGCCTGGTCTAGTGAGTTCTAGGCTAGCTGGGGTTACAAGAAAACCCTGTCTCAAGAAGACCAAAATAATGATGATGATGATGATGATGATGATGAAGATGAAGATGAAGAGCTTGGGAGATAATAATAAAAAAGAGCTCAGTAGATTTCTTACCATCAAGCATGTGGATCTTAAGTTCACTTTCCAGCACCCATTAAAAGCCTCTCTGGTGCTAAAGAGATGGCTCAGCAGTTAAGAGCACTGGCTGCTCTTGCAGAAGACATGGGTTCAATTCCCAGCACCCACATGGTGGCTGACAACCATCCGGTAACTCCAGTTCCAGGGGATCTGATGCCCTCTTTTGACCTCCCTGGGCATTGCATGACACAGGTGCATTTACACATATGCAGACAATACACTCATATACATTAAAAAAAAAGTGCAGGGTGTGGTGGTGCGCACCTTTAATCCTAGCACTTGGGAGACAGAGGCAGGCGGATCTTTGTGAGTCTGAGGCCAGCCTGGTCTATATAGTGAGTTCTAGGACATCTGGGGCTACAGGGAGACCCTGTCTCAAAAAAAAAAAAAAAAAAAGAAAAAACAAAAATTAAAAGTTACTTTGCTGGACGTGGTGTTGAACGCCTTTAATCCCAGCACTCAGGAGGCAGGCAAATCGCTGTGAGTTCAAGACCAGCCTGGTCTACATAGTGAGTTCCAGGACAGCTGGGGCTACAGGGAGACCCTGTCTCAAAAAAGACAAAAAAAAAAAAAAGCTTCTTTTAGTGGCTCTCATTTGTTTTTTTTGTTGTTGTTATTTTTTAGGCCAAATTAATTATTTTTTATTAATTTTTTTTCTTTTCTTTTGAAAATCCTAATGAGTTTATTGGGCTTGCTAACAGAGCATAGGGTGGGAGTTATTTATAGAAGTGAGTGCCCCCCCCCACAGTCAGATCAGACAGTCTCAGGCAATCTGCTGAGTTCTCAGCCCCTACACCAAGGGGTGGCCAGATCTCACTGACTCTCATTTGTAATCCCAGCTCTAAGGAAGAATCCCTGGGACTTGCTGGCAAGCAAGTCTAGCTAATCAGTGAGCTCTAGGACACTGTGAGACCCCTGTCTCAAAAAAACAAGTGGGTTTTTGTTTTTTGAGATAGGCTGTCACTATGTAGTCCTGACTGGCCTGGAACTGAGAGATCCACCTGCTTCTGCCTCCCAAGTGCTGGCATTAAAGGCAGGTGCCACTATGCCGGGCCTCTGACTTATGTATTTTAAAATTATACATGGTGGTATAGTTTAGATGTGGAATATGCCTTAAGGCCCATGTGTTAAAGGTTTAGTCCCCAGTGGGGCACTATTGAGGAGTGAAGGAAGTTTTAACAGTGGGCCCCCCGCGGGGGGGGGGCGGTCTTTGGGTCAATGGAGGCATGTTTAAAGGGAATAGTGAAACCCTGACCCCTTCTCTTCTCATTATCTTTCTGCCACGTGAGTGGTTTGGAGCTGCCATGTGCTCCATCCATGATTTGCTGACTTGTTACAGACCCAATTGACCAAGAACTGAAATATCTTAAATTCGAGTCCAAATAAATCTGTTTGCAAGTTCATTATCACAAGTATATGTTACAGCAACAGAAAACTGACCAACACACATGGGATTTTCTTTTCCATCGTATCATGTGACTGGTGTTTCTGGTTTGAAGGCTCTGACACTTAACCTTGTCAATTTCAGAACTTAGAATAGCCTAAGGGAGAAACCTCTATGTGTTGTATGAGGGGTTTCCAGACAGGTTTAGCTAAGGTGGAAAGACCCACACTGAGTGTAGGCAGCACCATTTCATGGGCTTTGGTCCCAAACTGAATAGCCCGCTGGTCTACATGGTTATATACAGTATATATAGCAGACCTCTGGTCAGATATTCTGTCCTTGCTCACTGAATAAGTCAGGATCACTCACTGCACTGGGACCAAAGTCTGGGGCTCTAGAGTCATCATTCAGATAACTTCAAGGGAAAGGTCTTGTATTAGATGTGCTAGTGCAAAAGGAAATGCACTATTATATCAGAGGGAAAAGTTAACCAGTAAATAGTACGCATTCAGAATTTTAAAGACTACATAACTAAATACAAAAGGCTATCTATGTCCTTTTACACATTAATTTTACGGAGTCCTGCTGGAGAAGCAGACACAAACACTGTCAGGAGTTAGTAGCTGATGGGTGAATTAGCAATGTTACTCTAGGTGCCTGTCTAAATATTGGGGGAATGGTTTGGTAAACCAAGACTGAAACATAATAAAGATAGGTAGCACAGTATTTCTTCCCCACATCTAGCCTGTAGCCAGACGCCTGGAGAGGTCAGGTCCACCCCGCTGCAAGGTGAGGGGGGGCTACTTAGCCGGCCTTTCCCAAGTCCTTGAAGGGACATAGGGTCAGATCCAGGATTCGCTTCCTTCCCCGCCCTGCTACCGCCTTTCTCCGGATTGGTTGACTGGAGGACATCACAGACAGTACTAGACAGCGATTGGCTGAGCTACTGGAGGGCAGCGGAGCCGCAGACTCCTAAGGCTAAAGGAGTGGAGTCCAGAGACCCCGGACTAGTCCGAGCCTACCCTGTGAGAGCCCTCTTCCTGCCGCGGGGCTCGAACTCTCGGCCCCACACCAGCTGACTCTCCGACGCCACGGTCCAGGGTCCCATTCTCAGACACACACCCGCTGGCCCTGCTAGGGCCGCGCGCTGCGCATCCTCGGCCACCGCCTCTCCTCCCCAGCGCCGCAGCTGCATCCGCACCATCCCTTCTGCCCGAGCGGGAGCAGCCGAGGCTTTACCTGGACGACCCTGCTGGCAGACGCCATCTTGCTGCCCATCATGACCCCCAAACAGGGGCAGCTTCCGGGGCGCAAGGGAGCCGCTGCAGTAGCTGGAGTGCGCAGTGGGGGCGGAGCCTTGGCGTGACGTCACGAGGGGTGTGGCGAGGGCGAGCGGTTCCCCGCGGGGGAGTTGGTTCCGCCCCTCTGCACTTAGTCCCGCCCTTCTACCCGCCTGAGGGCTCAGCCCTGCCTTTCCTATTGTTGCGCTTTCTGGCAGGTGGTTTGGACTGCTGGGTTCACCCGCCTATGATTTACCTAGGACTATTTCACTCGCAGGTAGCTAGTTTCTAATTTCAGTACGGTTCAAAATTTAATCTAGGAACTGGAGAGATGGTTCAGTGGTTTAGAGCACCTACTGGTCTTCCAGAGGACCAGGGCTCAGTTCCCAGCACCCATATGGTGGCTAGAACACATCCTCAACTCCAGTTCCCGAACTTGGGCACCAGACTCAGGCGTGGTGCACTTAAAAGCAGGCAAAACACTTATACACATAAAGTGTAAATAAATGGGGCTGAGAGATGGCTCCGCGGTTAAGAGCACTGATTGTTGGGCAACAGTTGTTCTTGCAGAAGACCGGGCTTTGTATCCCTCCCAGGATCCCTATAGCGGCAAACAGCCTGTCAGTAACTCCAGTTCCAGCGGATCCAACGACTTCTATCCTCCACAGGCATTGCAAGGCTCAAGTGCACTTCCACACATGCAGGCAATACACTCATACACATAAAATAAGTACATTTAAAAAGATAAAAATAAGGGCCAGGCATGGTGGCGCACACCTTCAGTCCCAGCACTTGGGAGGCAGAGGCAGGCGGATCTCTGTGAGTTCAAGGCCAGCCTGGTCTACATAGTGACTTCCAGGACAGCCGGGGTTATAGGGAGACCCCCCAAAAAAAAAAGAATCTTTTTTAAAAACTTCATTAAAACTTAATCTGAAACCATGTAAGTAATATAAGCTCTTGTGGCTCCCTGACGAAAAATATTAGTAAAACTTCGGAGTTAGGTAAACTCAGAAAGAGTTAATTCTGGTTTAAAAGGGGGCTAAACACTATTCCCTGGATGATTGGTTTTGCTTAATTTGAATTTGTTCCTGTTTCCTCGAACTCATTCTTTTTTTGGCTTCTAAAACTCAGTATTCTTGATAACTGTCTCTGCCTCTACTTTCAGTTTAAGAGGAATTTTTTTTTGAGACAGGGTCACACTAAGTATCCCTGGCTAGTCTGGAACTCTCTATGTAGATCAGACTAGCCTTGATCTTAAGAGATCCACCTGCCTCTGCCTCTGCCTTCTGCGTGGTGGGATTAAACACATGTGGCACAATGCCAAATGCTATATTCAACTTATTATATATTAAATATTAATACTTAAGGCTGAAACAAGAGTTGTAGACTTGAGGTTGGAGAGGTGGCTCAGAAGTTAAGAGCACTAGCTGCTTTTCTAGAGGACCCAGGTTTAGTCTCTAGCATCCACATGGAGGATAACAATCTGTAATTCCAGTTCCAGGGGGATCTGACAACTTCTTCTGAACTTCTGAAGGCATTGCATGGCACAGGTGCACTTACATAAATGCAGGCATTACAGTCATGCACGTTAACTCAAAATAATTTTTTTTTAAGAAGAGTTGTAGGTTCGATGTCAGCTAGAGAAACAGCATGACACCATCTTAAACATATATAAGGGCTGGGGATACAAGTCAGGGATAAAGCACTTATGTAGCAGGTACAAGGCCCTGGGTTCGAGTCATAGTAACACACATATACACTAAATGTATATGCATATATGTATATATATGTTTGCACATATATGTGCATATCACTATAACATGTGTGTGTGTGTGTGTGTGTGTGTGTGTGTGTGATTGTTGGTTTGTTATGCTCCATGTAGCCCCAGCTGGCCTGGAACTCACTATGTAAACCAGGCTGGCCTCATCTCACAGAGATTAAACTGCCTCTGCCTCCCAAGTGCTGGAACTAAAAGCCTGCACCACCACTATAACTTTTTTTTTGTCTTTTTTTAAATTTATATTTTTAATTAAAAGAAGCATTTCATTACAACAGCATTAACCTATTCAATAACATTTTTCTGAGCTAGGGTACATCTCTGTCAAAATTGGCTGTACATTTCTAGGTTTACAGATGAATTATTACGCTTATATAATCTTTTACTCATTATAAACTCTATAAGACATAAAATTAAATGAGGTTCCAACGTTTAAAAAAGATCTCCACTTCGTTGTCAAAACACACAGTTTCATACAGAAAAATTCATTCCAAGCCTATTGACATTGAGACGTTTTCACAAGCATTTCTAATCTCTATGTACATGACTATCACTGGTCACAGTCGCCCAACTTCTGAGCTCCTCGGCATCTGAGCATGAATACAAACTCGTCAGGTAGACAGCCTTCCTCTCCCACTA